AGCATTTATTAATCTTAGTTAGATTCTATTTACACCATGGTGTACTTATTTCAAATAGTGGCAATTATCTGCACCTTAGTATTGTAGAACATTATACAACAGTATGCAATAATAACATATTGAGTGTAAATTATCATTTTAATTCAAATGATTAAATTGATGCCTCTGTATTGGGACAATATAAGCCCTCTCTACACCTACCCGATGTGATACGAGATTTGAAAATGGAGGGAAAAAAAGTTCTGTAAAGCATCAAAAATGACTTCGGCACGCGCTTTACTATACGCCACTGAACTTATAACTAGCGTCTTTTGTAGTAACCTTACACTGATGGGCGGAGTTAGTGTAATCACTTCTGCCAACAAGGCGGCCTATTAGTATAATAGACACTGTGTTTTTTAATAGTGAACTGATGTTCAGCTGTTCTTTTTAATAGTCAACTTATTTTCGAGTCATCGTCATTAAAGCCCTGTAAACACTGTCACAGACACGAAGATATATCTTTCATTTCATCACGCTGAATGCTCACTAACTGACAGTCATCACGTTTTCAGGCCAGTTTTATTTTGAGGCGATACTTAGCAGTGATATATTTAAGCGGGTGAGTTGTTTACTTACTTAATATTTAGTCAATAACGCCATCGTTTTCTTCATTCAGGCCGAGAGCTGCACGAAAACAAGAGGCGGGATTTATCACATGAACCAATCACATCCGATCATAATCAATCATTGCCTCCTCTCACGTGATTTTCCCCCATTCAATCTCCATTACCCCCCACTAAACCCACAGCACGCTAAGGGTCTCTGTTGTAAGTCAATGGGCCGAAGGGAGGCAAGCCTCCGCAAGCATTCTACCTGCGGGTGTCGCTGTTGGACAGTGTTACTTTATAAAAACAAGTGACTTTTATATTTTTAATGTCATATTTAGTAATATTTGCATTGTTTAATTTTAGTAATATCGATTATTTTCTCATCCCATTTTTTGAGGAGACACTGCTATTGTGGGAGGCACACAGACTCATGTACAGCACTTCTGTTCAATCAGTTCAATCATTATCTGCTCACCATGTCAGCGATGAAGGCTGCTGTTTATTAGAAATGCAGTAAGTGCAACATGCGAACAAGCTCATATTATCAAAACACCCCATCTGAGAGCTTGTATTTGACCTGCAGGACAGAGACAGACTGTGATCAGAGGAAAACCCTCCAGTGCAGGAAAGGCTGGATTTGTGCCGTGAGTCTGAAGAAGAGCTGAACACGTGAAAGATGATAATGAGCGTGACTCCTGCTAACAGAGGTTAATAACAAGAGTCCTCTCTCGAACCCTCTCTGCCTTACAGTCCTCACAGCCAACGCTTTCTAGTTTCTCCACGCTGATCTGAAACAGGACGGCGGGTTTCTGTGGATTTCTACATGCTATTGAGGCAGGCTGGTTTTTGGTCTCCTCCTGCATTTTCCATGCAGAGCCGGTGAAGCTCATCCATCAGCGGAGACAGGCAGAGAGAAAACGATAGCCCAGTATCACAGCCAAATCTCCAACACAAATAAATGTAGTGATTGTGCTCTCGCGCGGGCCTGCACACTCACGCCATTTATAAAGGCACGCTGCAGTCCGCAGGAAATACTCAGCACACCGTGTCAAATGATGACATAAAATGTGCAAACTGGTTTTTATCAAAGCTCTTCTCAACCAGCTTTCATCTTGGCACAGCAGCACATTTCACATTCAAAACGCAGGAAAACTACCAAAAACACTTTATGCAGTCTTAAACCAACTCATTCTTCATAACACTGGCAAACACACTTTATGATCCATAAACACTAATAACTGGTGCATTACACAATGCTTTCTAACACAAAATTTCTTCACAAACAAGAATGGCAGTCTGCGGTTCAGATTGAGTGAATGTTACACACTCCATATCTACATTACTGCACAAAATTATTTCTGAGCTTTACGTTTTTGTATAGATGGGAATGAAATTGAAAAACTAACACCTGTGCAGTTGTTCAAGCTACATATAATTGTTTGAATATAGTATTTAATATTTTTTAAGACTTGGAATATATTTCAATATGGTATTACAGTGTAAATTATTCAGTTTTGTATTATGTTAAGTTTTGAATAAGTTGATCAGTTTTGTAAAGAGCGTGTGAATGTGTAAATTAGCCAGTGGGTTCACAGAGTTTTGAAAAAGTGAGGACTGAGAAATGGGCTGTGAATGGATCTCTAAATCAAATGCGTTATATTCAATGCACTGGTTTCTGATAATAATTAATATGCTCATATATACTCAGTGTTTGGGAAGGTTACTTTGGAAATGTAACAGGTTACAGATTACAAGTTACCCTATTTAAAATGTAACAAGTAGTGTAACTTTTTCAATGACTTTACTAAAGTAGTGTAACTGATTACTTTCTGATTGCTTTTCTAAATTTCTAGCAAATGTTTTCAGCTGTTAATCGTTCTGAAACATGTAAAGCAGACAGGGTTAATATTACAGTAGAGCTCAACACTGATTACTGCCAGACTTACAGACTCCTTCACTTCAATTCAGATTATAATCATTTCATTCAAAACACAGCCAGCACAAAATCAGACTTTAGCACCTCTTTTTACTTTCAGATCATTCTGATTTTAAATACAGATTTAAAATCATAGTTTAATGAATAGGTATGATATTGTTTTTGAAATCAGATCTTTGCACAGCTATGACAGGAACCACTGGCACTAACAATGCCCTGGAAAACACAGTTACTGGTGTCTCATATTTTAGAGCAGTCAGTGCAATTTGAGAAAGAAATCAATCAAATCTGTATGTGTGTGAAAATATTCAGATGAAACCCCCTTTGTAATCATTAACATTTCATAAATAGCCTAACTTAATTACACAAATAAAAAAAAATTCTCAGTAACTGTAACAGATTAGTTATGTTTATTTAGTAATTAAATTACGTAATTACGTTACGTCTAACTAGTTACTCCCCAACACTGAATATAGTTGATAAATCAATGCGGATTATTTACATTTTCGTCATATTTTCCTCACTACAGAAGCACAAAGATTTATTATGGACTCCAAACAAATATGCACAAACTCAGTGCCTCTGTTTTTTAACATAACATAGAAGTTTTTTATACCCTCGATACCGTTACGCATTTATAGTTAGCGGTAAGTAACGTAAAGCTGAACTTATTCAGACTGGCCTGTTTATATATCATCGACAGACAGGCCTATATGTTTTATGTTTTTGCGTGACAGTGAAACAAGACGATTCATTTTAATTCAAAGCGTTCATCCAAACGCTGCTCGCCGCGTTGTGTGTCTGTCTGTGTGTGTGTGTGTGTGTCTCTCTCTGTGTGTGTGTGTGTGTCTCTCTCTCTTTCTCTCTGTGTGTGTGTGTCTCTTTGTGTGTGTGTGTGTGTGCCTCTCTCTCTCTGTGTGTGTGTGCGTGTGTGTCTCTCTCTCTTTCTCTCTGTGTGTGTGTGTGTCTCTCTCTGTGTGTGTGTGTGTGTCTCTCTCTCTGTGTGTGTGTGTGTGTCTCTCTCTCTGTGTGTGTGTGTGTGTCTCTCTCTCTTTCTCTCTGTGTGTGTGTGTGTCTCTCTCTCTGTGTGTGTGTGTGTGTCTCTCTCTCTTTCTCTCTGTGTGTGTGTGTGTCTCTCTCTCTGTGTGTGTGTGTGTGTCTCTCTCTCTTTCTCTCTGTGTGTGTGTGTGTCTCTCTCTCTGTGTGTGTGTGTGTGTCTCTCTCTCTTTCTCTCTGTGTGTGTGTGTGTCTCTCTCTCTGTGTGTGTGTGTGTGTCTCTCTCTCTTTCTCTCTGTGTGTGTGTGTGTCTCTCTCTCTGTGTGTGTGTGTGTGTCTCTCTCTCTTTCTCTCTGTGTGTGTGTGTGTCTCTCTCTCTGTGTGTGTGTGTGTGTCTCTCTCTCTTTCTCTCTGTGTGTGTGTGTGTCTCTCTCTCTGTGTGTGTGTGTGTGTCTCTCTCTCTTTCTCTCTGTGTGTGTGTGTGTCTCTCTCTCTGTGTGTGTGTGTGTGTCTCTCTCTCTTTCTCTCTGTGTGTGTGTGTGTCTCTCTCTCTGTGTGTGTGTGTGTGTCTCTCTCTCTTTCTCTCTGTGTGTGTGTGTGTCTCTCTCTCTGTGTGTGTGTGTGTGTCTCTCTCTCTTTCTCTCTGTGTGTGTGTGTGTCTCTCTCTCTGTGTGTGTGTGTGTGTCTCTCTCTCTTTCTCTCTGTGTGTGTGTGTGTCTCTCTCTCTGTGTGTGTGTGTGTGTCTCTCTCTCTTTCTCTCTGTGTGTGTGTGTGGCTCTCTGTGTGTGTGTGTGTGTGTGTGTGTGTGTCTCTTTCTCTGTGTGTGTCTCTCTCTGTGTGTGTGTGTGTGTCTGTGTCTGTCTCTCTCTCTCTCTCTCTCTGTGTGTGTGTGTGTGTGTGTGTGTGTCTCTCTCTCTCTCTCTCGGTCTCTCTCTGTCTCAATATTCTCTCATTGGCGATCAAAGCGCCTGAATAATGGAATGGCTGGACGGAATCTGCGGATCTGAGAGGAATATGCAATATAAATTTAAAGATTTTAACATGGAAATAAACACGGGCTTGTGAAATGGAGGACTGAGGACATGGACACACTGAACAGACCGTAAACTCATTACTATGTTTACTTGTATGCTGATCGTCATGGATTTATTAGAAGTTTGTATTTTTGTATCGCTGTAATTTGCTTATTTTTAACGTTTTAAATCAAAACGCCAAAGCGCTGATGCTGGAGTGCAATTCCTTTCTAAACTATATCAAAAGTGATGTAACGCGACAGGACTGGCTGATTTATTGAAGGACGCATTTACAGTCGTGTAGTTTATTTATTCGTTTTAATTCGCAATAAAGCCCAGGACTCTCCAGTAGCCGATCTCTGACTGCAACAGAAAGGAGGACTCGCAGGAAAACACTAATAACCCGACGAGCATGACCCTAGCGTCGCGTTCTGCTCGAGACTAACACAGCAGCAGGAGCCAGAGATGAAGGACAAGTCCAAGAATGCTGCGAAGACACGAAGAGAAAAAGAAAATGGAGAATTTTATGAACTGGCCAAACTGCTGCCGCTGCCCTCGGCCATCACCTCTCAGCTGGACAAAGCGTCCATCATCAGACTGACCAGCAGCTACCTGAAGATGCGAGCCGTGTTTCCAGACGGTAACTCTGCTGGACCACACTGACTCGCAGCTCATCTTCTTACTTTCACTTGATCATGTTGCAGTCATTCATTTCTCAATTCAACTGTTCACGGTCGGACAATTTAATTTAATTTAATTACCCGTAAAGCATTTGAAAACAAACATGTTGGTTAAGTTAATTAGTTTAACCACTCGAAGTCTAAAAGTTTAAAATAAAAGGAATAAAAATTAATAGGCCTAATGATGAAAATGAATATGATATCTGAATTGGTTTTGATCAGATGTGCTGTGCGGGATGAAAAGAAACGGGGGAAACCACCTGAAAATACAATAATAAAGCAGTAATAAGAGAATTATTTATAGCGTTTTCAGTTTCCTGAAAATATTTATTTCGTTGTTCTTTTCCCCTCTCGAGTTTGTACCTGAATCTTTATCCGCTCACACTGAAAGCATCGCACATTCATCTCGCTTGCAGTGAAAATCTGCTTTCTTGCTGAGAGTCCAAAGATATATTTATAACGTGTCATAACAGATCTCAAATTGTAAGATGGATAAATATTTCACAAATGGAAGAAATAGAAAAAATTGACGCTGTAGCGTCTATCAACTTAGGACGAATTAATGTTTCTTCTTTGCTTATGAATTAGTCTATGCAAAATCCAAATTAATCTCAACTATTTAATGTCTTTAATTTCCGTTTTCGGCTACGTGGCAGTTTAGATAACAATATTAAATCATGCTATATGATACGCTGCTGTAAAGAGTACATTATTATACATATTGTCAGTTTGTCTCTGATGGACCTGATAACACGCAATAATATAAAATACGTAATAATCATGCATTTTAGTATTTTGTTTTGCCTTTAAAAAATATTTCTGGAAAAGACATTCTGTCGCAAAATGACCTTTTAACAATTTGCATTAAATCGACATGCGAAGTCTAATCACTTAAAATGGTTTTATTTTATGTAATTATGATAAATGCATTGCGGCTTCAGCATAATTTCCCCCAGATTCACTGCGCGAACTTGACAAATAAGTTTAATTAACATGTGTGATAAAGATTTTAATAACTCCCGTAAAACTGTTTTAAATTAGACTTTAATACTAAGATCTCACTCTGATTTTTTTTAAAACGCTAACTGAATTCTTCACAACGCACACTACATCAGTGAGCTAAAACTCCAGCTGTGGGTGTGATGTGTGCTAAAGGTTTGAACACAGGTCAGTATTTGAGTGTGTCTGTGCTGTGTGTGTGTGTGTGAGGGCTCGGAGAGGCCTGGGGTCAGGCGGCACGGGTCAGTCCTCTGGACATCACGGCCAAAGATCTGGGGTCTCACCTGCTGCAGGTGCGAGTCTTTACAACTGCTTCATATTTTGACGCTAATTTCTTGATCCAATGAACCAACGATCAAGTGTTTGTTATTATGCTCCCTGGTTTTATCTTTCAGACGCTGGACGGGTTTGTGTTCGTCGTCGCGTCTGACGGTAAAATCATGTACATCTCGGAAACAGCTTCGGTACACCTGGGCTTGTCACAGGTGAGAGTTTAACACGAAACCAGGGTCAGTTCGGGGCCACAGTGATAACACTTCAACACACACATAACTGAGACACAACGCTAGAATTCTATCTGGGGAATGTGAAGAGAATTCATACACACTTTTGTTTGCTCCATATCCTTATTTCTGCTTCTATTGAGAAATTCTGTCTGTTCTGAAGTCTGAAAAACACTGGGCTTCTGCTTGTTTAATAGGTTTAGATCTTGTATCTGGGAATGTAAAGAGACCAAACACATTCAAAGTGTGTGTGTTTTAAAGAAAACCAATGTAGAATTGAATTAATGGAAATACAATTAAAAACATTTTTTACTTATCTTTAGATACTGAGCTGAATGTAGGCACATTAGGATAGGGTTGTAATTTTTAACTGTGATGCCATATATAGGAAATCACAATATCAGAAATCCCTGACTCTTACTGAGATCATTTACTATTTATTTATTCTCCCTCATGTCCTTCCGAACCAGTTTGAGTTTCTTCCTTCTGTGGCGCACTAAAGCACTTTGATAACCCAACAACTCTAGTGCACATCGACTTCCACTGTATAGATAAAAAACAACCACATTTCTCAAAATTTGTTTTGGAAGCAAGTGAAGGTGTGGAAATGATCACATTCTGGGTGAATTATCCCTTTATGGAATTCGTCCGTGCTGATTCGGTGCTTTAGTAATATTAGCACAGCTTCAGGCCTTGTGCACGTTGCACTTTCCAAATTACATTTTGCTTCTAAAAATGAGCAAACACCAACACATTCCTCCATCTGATGAGACACAGAAACTGCATCTGACAGGAGACGAGGAGCAGGACAACCAGAGTCTCAATCAGAAACAGCTTCATCTGAGCCGTGAAGAGAAGAGTCTGCTGCTGCTTCAGAAGAAAGGGACGAGTGCTGCAGAACGCATGGGATGAAACCTCAGCTGAATGTTTCAATGGGCCCTTTTCACATGCGGAAATAAACCAGCAACAACAACACCTATCATGGGAAACTCTATTTTTGCTCCTGCTTTTCCACGACTTCACAGAATAGGAAAAGAGATGGACAGCAGACAGAAGAGACATAGATATGGAAATTAACGGTCAGCATGTAATCCCAGAGATGTATTGGTTTGGGTTGAGGGATTCCTGAATTTGATTTGAACTAAAAACCAATACAAAAAAAATAAATCTGTATTAGAACTATTGTAATTGCAGTCACACGTTAAGATAATAAAATAATTAAAACTGAAAACATGCATTTCTTAAAGTCAAGAGATCGTGTCCATCATGTTTAGTTGAGGAGCATTAAACGAAGAATATCACGTGTTTCCTTGATTTATAGAAAAGATCAACTAAAGGTCTTGTTTGTAGACCCAGGATCTATAGTCGTGCTCCTGAAGATGTCCACGGGTGAGTTGGAGGGAAAACGCTGTTTTTATAGCTAGTCAAAGCAGCAGCGGCCGCGAGACGAGCTCCATCGCGCATGATGCTGTCGTGCGGGAACACCTGTGTTTGCTGACTACTGAGCATTCAAATGCGCTGGTCACTGCAGACCGACAGCGTGAAGGGCCGAGAGCCAGACTCCGAGCAGATATGAAGCGAAGCACACAGCAGTGTGTTCAGTAAAGTGCGCATTCCTGCACGGACGCGCCGCTGCGCTACAAAGAGCAGATTATCGCGCCGCGTCGCAGCTGCGCAGAAACTCATTTGTCGCTGAAGTGCTGTGGAGTGACCTTCTCTGTGTGCGATGTGCCCTGCTAATTTACACACAAAAATGGATCAAAGTCCTGCACAGAATCCGCTTTTGTTTTCACATGCAAATCGTGTTTTTATACATGAACTCTTTGCAGCGGGAATCAGACTGTCTCTCTTTGAGATGGACGCAGATCAGTTTCAGACAAACAGGAGCTTAGCTTCACACACACACACACACACACACACACACACACACACACACTTAAAACCCTGTTCACAATAGGCATTTTTGTGAGTTGATGTAATCTTCTTAAATGACACAGATTCTCATCTTAATCTCAGCTGGGTTTCCCCCCACTTTGCAGCTATTTGACTGATTTCTCTTTATGCCTCCTGACAATTATCTGGCAAAAGGCAAAGCATCATGACTGAATGATGGTTTAGAATTTGATGTGTGTGTGTGTTGTAGGTGGAACTGACCGGTAACAGCATCTTTGAGTACATTCATCCATCAGACCACGACGAGATGAGCGCCGTGCTGAGCGCACACCAGCCTCTGCACCCACACTTCCTGCAGGGTATACACACACACACACACACACACTCTCACACACACACACACACACACACACACTCTCTCACACACACACACTCACACACATGAGAATTAAATTCATATTCATCACAAAGCTGATCTGTTGCAGAGCTGGAGCTCGAGCGCTCGTTCTTCCTGCGCATGAAGTGTGTTCTGGCGAAGCGGAACGCAGGACTCACCTGCGGTGGTTATAAGGTGAGTCCGTCTCTCTTCAGCTGTTCTAATAAACCATCAAACACACGCACATGTTTTTGTTTGGAATTAAAGCAGATGATGGCCAGTAAAATTATATTCTCTTGGTTACTTTCCCGCGGGCGTTATTTTTTGCAAGCTCATCTCAAAGCCGAGTTTTGCATTGCAAATGTCATTAAGTCAAAACATTTCTCAAGAGATCGAGTTCACATGGAGAGCTACTTTAGAGCCAGATTCACTGCCATTTCACTGTCGACACTGTGCTGCATGAACTGACCCTCAAAGCTGATCTGATTAAATGTAGCAAAGACTCGTTTGAACGCAGACCGCGCATTTGACTACATCATGAACCGATGACATTTTCCATGCATCTCCACCCGCTTCCCCAGTGCTTCATCAGTCAGGCTTAGGAGATTTGTTTGAAATTTACCTTGGCAATAAACAAGTGGTTTATGTTAAGTAGAGAATAAATCAGGCTCTGGATTCAGAGGCGAGTCAACAGGACAAAGAAATATCTGAGTGTGTATGTATGTGTACTTGTTTATGCTACATTGTGGGGACCAAATGTCCAGCGAGGGGCCAGCAGTCTGGGGTGGCACAGAAATCTTCATTATTTCAGTATAAAAATGTGTTTGACTATAAAGTACTGGACTGTTTTACTGCCTAAAATACAACTGAATACAATACATTTCTACTTAATTGTAATTGAGATATTTGTGAACTAGATCAAGTAATGCTGAGTGAATATAACAATTTGTGTATTATTCCCCACCTCCAGGTATTTTAATAAATGGGCTCACTATAGCTCTATTGCTCAGTCAGCTTGGTTCTGCTTCTCAAAACCCCCAAAAGCTTGTTCTCCAACATTACTCATGGACGAGACATGTAGATAGCGATAACAATGTGAAAAAGCACATGCCAGAATGTAAAATGAGTTATTTTATGCATTTAAATTGTTTGATTTTTGTTTGTACTTTTCAAATTAACAAAAAAAAAAGTGCGCTCCTTTTCTAGAATACATTTACATTTATTAATTTAGCAGACGCTTTTATCCAAAGCAACTTACAATTGGGGAATACATCAAGCGATTCTTCTTAAAGAGGCAAACAGACATAGGAAGTGCTCGTCATACCAAGTTTCAAGCATTGTTCAAATAAGTACAAGCTAGACAGAGAAAGATGAAAGAAAATAAAAAAATATATATATTTTTAGGATGAAGTCAGATGGATAAGGGTTGGAAGATCGTTCCAGCAGCCAGGAACAGTGAACGAGAATGTTCTGGAAAGTGATTTTGAGCCTCTCTGTGATGGTACCATGAGGCGTCGCTCACTAGCAGATCCCAGACTTCTGGAGGGGATGTAGATTCGTAGTAGTGAGTGGAAGTAGGCGGGTGCTGAGCCTGTGGCTGTTCTATAAGCAAGCATCAATGTCTTGAACTTGATTCGGGCCGCAACCGGTAGCCAGTGCAAGGAGATAAAGAGAGGTGTAACATGGGCTCTTTTGGGCTCGTTGAAGACCAGTCGTGCCGCTGCATTCTGAATCATTTGTAGAGGTTTGACTGGGCTTGATGGAAGTCCAGCCAGAAGAGCAATGCAGTAGTCCAGCCTAGAAAGGACAAGGGCCTGGACAAGAAGTTGTGCAGCATGCTCCGTTAGAAAGGGCCTGATCTTTCTGATGTTGTGCAATGCAAACCTGCAAGATCGAGCGGTCTTTGCAATGTGGTCTTTGAAGGTCAGCTGGTCATCAAAGATTACACCAAGATTTCTGACCGAACTTGATTGGGCAATTGTTGATGAACCTAACTGAATGGTGAAATCATGCTGTAGAATTGGAGTGGCAGGGAAGACAAGAAGCTCAGTCTTTGCCAGGTTGAGCTGTAAGTGATATTCTTTCATCCATGCCGAGATGTCTGCCAGGCAGCCTGAGATCCGTGCAGCTACCGTTGGATCATCTGGTTGAAATGAAAGATAGAGCTGTGTGTCATCAGCATAGCAATGGTAGGAGAAGCCATGTGCCTGTATGATGGGACCCAGTGATGTTGGGTATATGGAGAAGAGGAGGGGTCCAAGAACTGATCCCTGAGGAACCCCAGTGACAAGTTGATGTGCTTTGGATACCTCCCCTCCCCAAGACACCCTGAAAGACCTACCAGTGAGATAGGATTCAAACCAGCGAAGTGGAATCCCTGTAATGCCCATTGAAGAGAGGGCAGACAGGAGGATCTGATGATTGACAGTGTCAAAAGCAGCAGAAAGATCCAGCAGAATAAGGACTGATGATTTGGAATCAGCTTTTGCAATCCGCAAGGCTTCTGTGACTGACAGTAGCGCAGTCTCAGTTGAATGGCCACTCCTGAAACCTGACTGGTTAGGATCCAGTTTGTTGTTCTGTGAAAGAAACAATGATATCTGGTTGAAAACAACTCTTTCGAGGGTTTTCGCTATGAATGGAAGGAGAGAGACAGGTCTGTAGCTATCTGTAAGTGAAGTGTTTAATGTAGGTTTTTTGAGCAGTGGGGTTATCCGAGCCTGCTTGAATGCAGTGGGGAAGGTGCCTGTGAGGAGAGATGTGTTGATGATGTGTGTGAGTGCTGGTAAGAGTGAAGGAGAGATTGCTTGGAGGAGGTGTGAGGGGATTGGGTCTAGAGGGCATGTTGTAGGATGGCTGGAGAGCAGAAGTTTTGATATTTCTGTCTCAGTGAGGGGACAGAAGGAGAAGATGGGAGTTTTTGCAGTGGGTGGGGTTGGTTTGAAGTCCTGTGTGTGTGGGGCTGAGAATTGGCTACTGATTGTTCTGGTTTTGTCTGTGAAGAATGTGGCGAAATCCTCAGCTGTTATAGAAGTGGTAGGAGGTGGTGGAGGGGGACAGAGGAGAGAACTGAATGTTTTGAAGAGGTTACGTGTGTCTGGAGCGCTGTTGATCTTGTTGTGGAAGTATGAAGATTTGGCAGTATGGACTTCAGCAGAGAAAGATGAAAGCAAATACTGATACATACTCAGGTCTGACGGATCTTTTGATTGGCGTCATTTTCTCTCTGCTGCCCTGAGTTTGGTCCGATGCTCACGAAGAACATCGGATAACCAGGGGTAAGAAGGGGCAGCCCGTGCTGGCCTGGAGGAGAGAGGACAAATATCATCTAGACAGGAGGTTAAAGTAGAGCATAAAGTGTCAGTTGCTGCATTCACATCCAGAGATGAGAAATGGGTAGGTGAGGGAAGAGAGGAGGATACAACGGAGGAAAGATGGGAGGGGGAAAGGGAGCGTAGGTTTTGTCTAAAAGTAACCGGTATGGGGGTTGGTGGCACACAGGTAGAAAGATGTAGGTTAAATGTAATGAAGAAATGGTCAAAGATATGTAGGGGTTTTACCAAAATGTTGTCTGCAGTAGAATTGCGTGTGTAAATTAAGTCAAGTTGGTTGCCTGATTTGTGAGTGCTTGTAGTGGTAAGGCATTTGAGATCAAATGAAGCTAGGAGTGAATCGAAGTCTGTAGCATAAGGCTTGTCCAGATGAATGTTAAAGTTGCCAAAGACTAAAAGCGGACTGCTATCCTCCGGGAATGAGGACAGCAGCTCATCCAGCTCCTCTAGGAAGGTGCCCAGTTGGGAGGTAAATTACCACAACACGTAGTTTTATAGGAGCTGTTACAGTGATCGCATGAGATTCAAATGAGTTATAATTGCATAGGGGAGAGTGGGTTGAGTATTTCCAATTGCCAGAAATGAGCAGAAGAGTGCCCCACCCCTCCCAACCTTACGGGGGGTGTGAGAGAAAGAAAAGTTGTTAGCTAGAGCAGTTGGGGTTGCTGAGTCTTCTGGACGAATCCAGGTCTCTGTCAAGCCCAAAATACTGAGTGTGGATTGCAAAGAAAAAGCAGAAATGAAGTCAGCTTTGTTGACAGCTGGCTGACAATTCCAGAGACCCACAGAGAAAGAAAGAGGTGCAGTAGGAGATGTACTGATAGGACGCAGGTTAGCAAGATTGTGTTGCCGTCTGCAAGTGATGGTAGAGTGTTGTTGAGAGACAACCGGAATGTACTGAAAACACATGATAGAGGTGGAAGGGAGAGGACAGAAAGGAGTGTGCAAAGGGAAAAATGAGAGCACTTAAGTGCATTGCCCAGCTTTGTTGCTCGGTTAAAGTCACGCAGGTAAAGTCGCAGGTCTTTACACTCGCAGGTCTTTACACTCGCAGGTCTTTACACTCGTAGGTCTTTACACTCGTAGGTCTTCACACGAGGGCTGAACGCTTCCGCTGACAGACAACAAACAAAGACACAGCCACCTGACACTTCAGAGAAAACAGCTGTGGCCGCCTTGTTAATTAGCACACCCAAAAGCCTATAGCAGGGCAATTGCTCAAATCGAAACTAAAGTTCGCACTTAAGTGCAGGAACGGAGCAATATAAATAACAAAAGCTCCTTCTTAGCCGATGGCTATTACTCTAATTACAAATAAAGTGCAATCAAAAGTGCACTGTACTCTGTGCTCACATTTACTTGTGCATTAAATTACAAATAAAAAAAATACATATCAGCTTGTGCCTTATGTGATCTCAAATTGCAGAATATTCTAGTGCATTTGAGAGACGTTCTATAAAGTGATGCATAGACATGCATGTACAGTTTGCAGCTTTAATCACCTTTTTGTTAATTTCATGACTTAACTGACGACAGAACTTAGTTTCTTTTGCGCTTTATTTATGATGAAGCGATGTAGAGTGTGCTCGTCATTTTCGCGTAAAGTTGAAGAGTGTGCACCGTGAGCACAGTAAAACGGCTGTCAGGACAGGGAAGTTTGTTTTTCCATATAGCCTAATAATATCTCATCAGACCGCAGTTCACTGTTGTTCTACTGAAGCTTATCTGGAACATGTTCCGCGCTCGTTTTTTCGAATTTGAAGTGTACATCTGAAAAGTCTCCCGTTTGATGTGGATGCAAAGATATACGGCTGTTCCGCGTCTTTATAAATTCATTACTTGTCGAGAAAAAAAGCGACAAAAACAGCAGTTTTGAGTGGGGTGGCCAAAGGGGTGGTCAAGCTTAGGTCAGTGGTGGCCACGCCCCCTCCCGGACTCCGCCCCTGCCCAAAAGAAGAGTAAAACCTGACATTTTTGACATTGACTAGGGAAAAAATTATTAAAAATATTAAATGATGTTTACACACACACACACACACATTCTCTCTCTCTCTCTCTCACACACACACACACACAATCACTCTCTCTCTCCCACACACACTGTCTCTCACACACCCACACACACACACACAATCTATCTCTCTCTCACACACACACAGACACACCACACACACACTCTCTCTCTCTCTCACACACACTGTCTCTCACACACACACACACACACACACACACACACACACACACTGTCTCTGGGCTGGAGCTGCTCTCCAGATGGCGAGAGCTGAGTCTGAAGCGTGTGCTGTGTGCAGGTGATCCACTGCAGCGGTTATCTGAAGCTCCGTCAGCTGCTGATGGACGTGTCTCTGTTTGAGTCCTGCTATCAGATCGTGGGGCTGCTGGCGGTCGGTCAGTCTCTTCCTCCCAGCAGCGTCACCGAGATCAAACTCCACAGCAACATGTTCATGTTCCGCGCCAGTCTGGACCTCAAACTCATCTTCCTGGACAGCAGGTGAGCTTCACTCCAACACACTACTGTATCCCACAATGCAATGTGCTCAATGTGACCAGGGGTTCTGCAGGCTTCACCAAGGCAAATTTAAGACTTTTTCCGAGCAAGTAAATAAAATGTAAAGACTAAAATGAAAAGAACACAATATTGTCAGTACGGTCTCTTAATGTGAATGTCTTAAAGTTGGAAAATACAGCTTAAAACAGATCTCCATTAAATTCAGATATATGTTCTTGATTTAATCAAAAATATAATTCATTTTGTTTAATTCCTCAAAAGAAAAGTCTTCATTTTGCGTCTCCAGTGAATGGGTCTTGATTTAAGGATGTTTAGATATTTGTACTGTACAAGACAAAATTACTGAGATTTTTTTTTTGCAGTTCATGCAACATTTAATGCCACAGTTCTATTAATTTAAGACATTATGTTCTGATTTAATTCTGTGAATTAACACTTTTGAAGAAAAATCTCATGTTCAAATCTCAATTTCAAACATGGTCCAGATCAGTACGAGCTAAACCAGGATATGAAAGCACAGATGATGATATTTTTGAGTGGAATGTAGTTCAGTGCTCAAACGTTTCTTGAAAATGGTCCAGATAGCATGAGGTTCAGAAGATCATTTCAACAGCGAGGAGCAGTGAATGAAAACATTGCTGAACGAGTGTGTGTGTTACAGGAGGGTAAATGTCTTGTTTGTGTGTCAGGGTGGCCGAGTTAACAGGTTACGAGCCACAGGATTTGATTGAGAAGACTCTCTACCATCACGTCCACGGCTGCGACGTCTTCCACCTGCGATACGCACATCATTTACGTGAGTCGCTGCATGCGCTTCATCAGCGCTTCTCAGCCGTGTTCCTGGAGCTCCACCGACACACACACGTCAGGTCTGGAGTGTGTGACGAGCTGACGACCGAGTCAGGTGTGTGTGTGATCGAGCAGACGGGCCATGTTTGGGCTGCGCTCCAGGAACCCGATTGAGAACCGCTGGATTATTCAGTCAACAGTGTTGGGGAAAGTTACTTTTAAAAGTAATGCATTACAATATTGCGTTACTCCCTAAAAAAGTAACTAATTAAGTAGTTACTTTTTATGGAAAGTGATACGTTACGTTACTTTTGAGTTACTTTTTAAATCTGGGACGGGGCTTGCTTGTTTGTTTTTAATATAAAAAGTGATTATTTTACGAATGTAAAAGCCCTTTCTCACTAAAAGTGAAGTGAATGCGCCTCAGGCTGAAGGAAATGTAAATTCTGGTCTGTACAGTAGAGGGCGCCGCTCAAACTAACTACATGAAGAATATGACGCAGGAGAAGAAAGTTCAACACTATTCAGCAATAACACAAATCAAACACAAATGTGTCATTTCTGATTATTAGTATGATTGAATTGGATCATCGAAGGTCAGCAGCAAAGACACTGGTTAATAAAATGGGATTAAATACATAAGTGATATTTGTCTTATTTAACAATTATTGCAGGTTTGTATAATATTCTGAGTTTGCATTTGACAGTATTTATTAATTGTGAGGAGCACTGAATGTGTTTGTGTGCAGTGAGATGAGTAAACACATGTTGATATTTAGTCTAGAACTACAGTAAGATCATGTTCACACACAACACTCTGCACTCACTCCTGATTTCTGTCACCATGGCAACACCAGAGCTGCCACTCAACACATGGAAACAAAGTAACTGGCATTACTTATTTAAAAAATAACTCAGATATTTCCTTCTGAATCAACAAGTAATGCGTTACTTTACTAGCTACTCAAAGTAATCTGATTGTGTTACTTGTAATGCGTTACCCCCAACACTGTAATTCAGTCTGTGTGTGTGTGTGTGTGTGTGTGTGTGTGTGTGTGTGTGTGTGTGTGTGTGTGTGTGTCAGTGCTGGTGAAGGGGCAGGTCACCACCAAGTACTACCGGATGCTGGCCAAACAGGGCGGCTGGGTTTGGGTGCAGAGCTGTGCAACCATCGTTCACAACAGCCGCTCGTCTCGGCCGCACTGCATCGTCAGCGTCAACTACGTCCTCACGTGAGTCACCTTTCACCTCCAGCACAGCACTTCTGTAAGATTCATGAAGGGAAATATATGACTCTTTAAAGCCCCAAACACACTGCACGATTTCCGGCTGTCCCAGACAAAAGATTGGCATCGTGAAACAATCGTGGCTCCTAATCTCATGTCGTACAGTGAGAGAGGTTCAAAGACAGCTATTGTCACGGTCTTGCGAGCAAAGATAGCCTAGGATACAGCATGATCACTGCACAGTGTGTTTGCTGCTACGACCCACGTTTACTGGCCAACCAATAAAACTGCGACATGAAATCAACATCAACACAACATTGCGTCTACACACACGTCGTAGTCAAGTTTATTAGATCCATGTCGCACAGTGTGATCTGCTATTATCTTATAGGATTGTTAAATCGTGCAGTATGTAAGATTTAAGGAATAAAGTGATACGTAAAGTGATAAAGTAATATACCAATATGGTCTCGAAAGCATAACGAGTTTCAATAGCAAAATAAAATATTGAAAATACAACTTCCAATTGATCTCCATTAATTTTTAATTCATTTTACAACAAGAACAAAAACAGTTTAAGGCTTGAATATCTCCGCTCTCAACCACTAGAATATGGAAATAACCTTTACTGTATTTTCTGATAACACTGCAAACAAAAGAAAATCTTCCCCTGTATTTCTGCCTTGTTTTCCAGTATTAATATCTAAACATCCTTAGATCAAGACATGAGATGCAACACGACAGCAGATAAGAAGTCTTGTTTTATGAAAAAAAACTATCAAAAGTTTATGATTAAAATGAACAAATATCTGCCAATGTAGTCTGAAAAATCAACTTAATTCAAATGGAAACTAGTTTTCATTCCCCATCGACAGATATGTGTTCTTAATCATAAACGCAATTCTTTTTCAGTTTCACAGAAAACAAGACTCTTCATTTTGCATCTCCAGTAAATACATCTTGATTTAAGGATGTTTAGATATTTGTACTGAAATATGAGGAAGAGATTTAGAGATTTAGCAGTTCATGTGACATTTAACACCACAAGTTTCTGCTCTGATTTAAGACAACTTTCAGACCTTAATTTATGGACGTTAGACTTGTTCAGACCCGCAGAAACCCTGTGTTCACTAATGCGGTGTATCTCCGCAGCGATGTGGAATATAAACAGATGCAGCTCTCTCAGGACCAGAGCAGATCCAGACCGTGTCTCTCCTATAAGACCTCGAGTCTGGCAGCTCCTCAGGACTCACGCAAACAGCTGAAAGCCAAAGCAGCCAAGATCAAAAGCAAAGCCCCGTATCCGCAGGTAAGAGCGCTCGCAGGCTCACCCGGGAACGGTTTCCAGACCTCGCTGCATGCTGATGAAGCGGAGTGTCCCTCGTGGAAGTCGAGTCCCTGCAGCCTGCCGTCCTGTCAGGAGCAGACCCAGGTCCCCGAGCCGTCCTACACACAGTCCTACGCACACACACCTGCGCAGACGCAGATGCGCTCCGGCCGGCCGCACTGGAGCTGCAGCGGCGCAGATAAAGCAGCGGCGCACTCCTGCGCATACTCAGGTAACAGCCCACACACACAGACACTTTCTGCCGCTCTTAAATCAGAGCAGAGTCTTAAATTCAGAAAGTCGTGGCATTAAATGCTGCATGAACTGCTAAAGGAATCTCTTCCTCAGTATTTCCGTCTTGTTTTCCAGTACAAATATCTAAACATCCTTAAAACAAGACACATCTACTGGAGAAGCACAATGAAGATAATGAATGAAGAAGTCTTGTTTTCTGAGAACTTGAGCAAAATGAAGTGAACAAATATCTGTCAGCGGGGAATGAAAACTTGTTTCCCTTTGAATCAAGTTTATTTTTCTGACTCTATTGACAGATATTTCTTCCTGTTTTAATCATAAACTCATTTTGATCGTTTATTTTTTATTATAAAACAAGACTTCCTATCTTCTACAACTTAGTTTTTCAGTGTATCTTGACTTATGAATCTTTAGACATTTTTTAAACCTTTATTTTACCAGGAAAAGCACATTGAGGTTAAATATCTCTTCTACAAGAGGCTAGGATTGTCAGTAACACAAAACTCACGTGGGTCTAGCAAATAGCATCCATCAATGCACACAAACAGAAATAAAATAACAAATAACAATAAAAAGAACCAATACATAACTAAATCAAACAAAGCATCTACAACCAGATGTTTCTGCCTCCAAATCATTCAAAATCACTTTTAAAACACCCAATGAGACCAGCTCCTTAATTCCTGGACCGAAGACTATAATTACTTACATGTTTTTTACAGATATAGGTCTGAAGATATGAAGGAAGTGGAAAACAAGACAAACTGAGGAAAAACATCACATTTTTGCATTGTGATCAGAAGGTGCAATAAAAGTTATTTCCATATTCTAGTAATTTTTGTATTTATGTTCTGTAAAATTAATTAAAACTAAAATTAGAAATAAGTTAAATTAACATATTTTGTTAATTTCAATTTATTCCATACATTTTCTTTACTTGGTCTTAACTGATTCGAAAAGCAATGAATGGCTCTTTTGATCTGGCTTTTGCTAGTGAATCGCCTAAACTGAATGATCGAATTCACGAGTTTGAATCATTTGGAGCGGTTCCAGCGTAAATGACTCACTCAATTGAATAGGTTCGTCTGTTCCTCTTTTCGCGTCTTCAGCCATGTTTACACGACACTGCTAGCACTACTACCGACTCAGCTCGCTAGTTTTATGTCATTAACTGCAACAAGCGAAAAATCCATATTTCCATTCCAAAGATAACATCCAACACATGATAGAGCAAACTTTATCATTCAGCCGAACTGTCCTCGTATGTTTCAAACACTTCAGCTCTTATATGTTCTTACTCCACACATCTATTAAATGTTTTCTAGCATATTTCTTTAACTTCTCAGGTAAATGTCAATATTGTGATCCCTTTCAGATGCGGCCGAAATTGCAATAACAGTGGTTACATACACATATATTTAATTGTTTGATCAAAATTATTGCTAGGGACAGTTTAGTAGTGGCAGGATATGGATACAGTAGAATCAGGGCAGCGCTTGCAATGGCAAGGTCATGGGTTCGATTCCCAAAGAAAGCAAGAACTGATCAAATGTGCACCAAGTGTACAAAGGATAAAAACATCTGCTAAATGCATGAATGTAAATGTTTGATTACCTGCATTACTGGACGGCACGTCTAACGGCAGCGACTCTGTCCGTCAGGTCCTGCGGGCGACGGCGCATTCACAGCCCAGCTGCTGCAGGGCGGCTACAGACCCAGCGGGGCGTTTAAAGAGGAGCCGGGTCAGAACCACAGCAGCAGAGAGCATCAGGCACTCCAGGGCTTCAGCCAGCAGACGCAGAGGCGCAGACTCTCGGAGCGGAGCCACACGGAGGACAAGAGACTCCTGGTGGCCCAGAGCCAAGTCTCTCTCAACCTCCACCACGTCTGGACCAAACACGTCCCATCAGGACCCTACGCTCTCAGCCACTTAACGGATGGGTACCGGGCTGAGGAGGTGCACCGGACCCAGAGCCCCGCCGGCCCTCATTACATCAGCACCTCCGTCATCATCAGCAATGAGAGGTGACCCGCTGCGCTTCTGCTGCTTATGCCAAACCACAGAGCATCTGTTCACATGCGCAGCAGTGAGTCAGGAATATATATCTGTTTGACACGGGATTCTACAGCCATGACGTCCGGAGTACGGAGGAGAGGACGTGTTTCGATCATTAAAGCCTCCAGACGAACCTTATATGTGACCCTGGACCACAAAACCAGTCGTAAGGGTCAGTTTATTAGCTGAATAAATAATCTTTCCATTGATGTATGGTTTGTTAGGATAGAACAATATTTGGCTGAGATACAAATATTTGAAAATCTGGAATCTGAGGGTGCAAAAAAATCTAAATATTGAGAAAATCATCTTTAAAGTTGTTCAAATGAAGTTCTTAGCAATGCATATTACTAATCAAAAATTAAGTTTTGATATATTTACGGTAGGAAATTTACAAAATATCTTCATGGAACATGATCTTTACTTAATATCCTAATGATTTTTGGCATAAAAGAGAAATGTATAATTTTGACCCATACAATGTATTGTTGGCTATTGCTACAAATATACCTGTGCTGCTTATGACTGGTTTTGTGCTCCAGAGTCACATATTTGCTGCATGTTATTGTTCACTAAACTCAGATATGCAAGACATAATCATCCACAGATTGATTTTGAAACATGCTTTTGTGCCAACATTTACAAAACTAAAATATTTAATCTAATTAAGCTATAGCAAAAAGAGCAAATGTTTCAGCAGAATTTCTGTAAAAATATCAGAATTTAAAGGCGCAGTAAGTGATTTCTGAGGAAGGCTGTTAAAAGTGGATCGGCCAGAGCACCAACACACACTTGTAGCCAATCAGCAGCAAGGGGCGTGTCCATCCATGAAGGGGGAGGTGCAAGACAAGTTTATTTATATAGCACATTTCATACACAATTGTAATTCAAAGTGCTTTACATAAAAGGAATTAAAATAATCATAAATACAATCAAAACAATAAAAGCAAGGAATTTAAAAACTTTTTAAATGATTTAAAAATGTATTTAAAATGAATTAAAACAGTTAAGAATAAACATTATGCATAAAATACAGTGCAATCAGTTAGGACAGTGCACAGTGCTCATTCAGTAAATGTGCAGCTAAACAGATGAGTTTTGAGTCTGCATTTAAATGTGACTAATGTTTTAGCACATCTGATCTCTTCTGGAAGCTGGTTCCAACTGCGGGCGGCATAATAACTAAAAGCGGACTCCCCCTTATTTTGTGTGAACCCTTGGTATTTCTAACTGACTCGATCCTAATGATCTGAGTGGTCTGTTAGGTTTATATTCAGTGAACATATCTGCTTTGTATTTAGGTCCTAGGCCATTGAGTGATTTATAAACTAGTAAAAGTAGCAGCAAAGTGTGTTTGTGAATTTGGGGGCGGAGCTATCAAGTTAGGGGTGTTTGTTTTAGAGATTTCAGATATTAACAGCTTGCTCAGAAACCACTAGCTGTGTTCGACTGGAAGCGGCGCTGCACAGACCGATCGGTGTACGGCATCAAAATACCGTGAAAGCAATTGGAGCGCATACGATACGTTTTTAGTTCTGTGCAGCGCTGCTTCAAGTCGAGCGCACCTACTTATTGCACCTTTAAAGGAGAAGTGTGTAATTCTATGCGACTAACTGATTTATATCACCCACATCTGCCATTGGTCAGGAAGACAGACAGTCCCACCCCAGACTCTGTGATTGGTCGAGCCAGAAGCCATATTCTGATCACAGTTATTCACTCTTCAAACTTAACAGGACACCTCACACTTCAGCTTTAAATGAAGAACTGCTGAACACTGAGCTGGAATGAAACAGAGTGAACAGGGAAATTATTGTGAAATTACTTCTATGAACATTTTTGGAAAAACTGATGGTCCAGTTTTCTGTTGTTTAACAACCAATCCTGCAGGTTTCTAACTGGTCACTCTCTTCATATGGAGCTGCTAGAATGGGCACATTTATACTGCTCGACCATTGTGCAGCTCTATTATTTATGCTGCAAACCAAGAGTCTAACAGATGCAGCGGATGTTACTAAAACGACTAGTTTGATTAGAATCTCAATAAACATGAGATGACATGTGAGCGTGTTGTTTCGTGACTCTCAGCAACAAAATATTGAACAGAAGTACTGATTTTCGCCATTTCCAAGGCTGTTATTAAAGTCATTATTGGAGCAGGAACGTTCATCTCCCGTTCCGTCTGAGAGAAGCTCGCACATGACGGATTGATGAAGCGTGTGGAGATCTAATACTCCTCCTGCAGAGGGTTAATACTCGCTGTGTTTGTTTGCTGATGAAGACTGCGGCTTTTTATGATTTTGAAGAAGAGCCGGCATCTCCAGGGACGGAAGATTGGAGTCCGGTATTATGCAGCCGGTATTAGAGATGATAGATTTGGTTTGACCTTCAGGGAACCTCCAGCTGAAATTGTTTAACAGGATATTGTGGATGTGGCGTTTATGGATCGGAGGTGAGCTATTTGCTTAATGATTTCTAAAGGTTGTGCGTGCGTTTACTCAGCGTCATCAGTTTAAAAACACTTTTATGGGTGAACGCGTCCCGCCGAGCACCGGACACCTGGAGAACCGTATCAGTGATTTAATAAGACTGAATGGGCTTGAATGTGAGGAAGTGGGGGGCGATGAATGGGTTTGTAATGAGGTGAAAGATCTCAGAGCATTTAGCGAAGTTCGGAGGAATATTTTCACCTCATCAAGACGAGCCTAAAGCACAAGGTGCAGATGACAGATAAACTGCTGCTTACTGAGGACGGATGATCATGACACTGCCAGGAAACCCCAGACACACACACACACACACACACACACACACACTCTCACACTCACACACACACACACACACACACACACACACACACACTCACACACACTCTCACTCTCTCACACTCTCACTCTCACACACACACACCCACACTCGCTCTCACACACTCTCACACCCACACACTCTCTCACACACACACACACACTCTCACAATCACACACACACACACACACACTCTCACACACACACACACACACACACACTCTCTCTCTCTCTCTCTCTCTCTCTCTCACACACACACACTCTCTCTCTCTCTCTCTCTCTCTCTCTCACACACACACACTCTCTCTCTCTCTCTCTCTCTCTCTCTCACACACACACACTCTCTCTCTCTCTCTCTCTCTCTCTCTCACACACACACACTCTCTCTCTCTCTCTCTCTCTCTCTCTCACACACACACACTCTCTCTCTCTCTCTCTCTCTCTCTCTCACACACACACACTCTCTCTCTCTCTCTCTCTCTCTCTCTCACACACACACACTCTCTCTCTCTCTCTCTCTCTCTCTCTCACACACACACACTCTCTCTCTCTCTCTCTCTCTCTCTCTCACACACACACACTCTCTCTCTCTCTCTCTCTCTCTCTCTCACACACACACACTCTCTCTCTCTCTCTCTCTCTCTCTCTCACACACACACACTCTCTCTCTCTCTCTCTCTCTCTCTCTCACACACACACACTCTCTCTCTCTCTCTCTCTCTCTCTCTCACACACACACACTCTCTCTCTCTCTCTCTCTCTCTCTCTCACACACACACACTCTCTCTCTCTCTCTCTCTCTCTCTCTCACACACACACACTCTCTCTCTCTCTCTCTCTCTCTCTCTCACACACACACACTCTCTCTCTCTCTCTCTCTCTCTCTCTCACACACACACACTCTCTCTCTCTCTCTCTCTCTCTCTCTCACACACACACACTCTCTCTCACAGACACACACTCTCTCACACTCTCACTCTCACACACACACACACACACACACATGAATATACAAAATCACTTCAAAAACAAGCGTGCAACCAAACTAGAATTACAGACAAAACCACAAGTTTTAACAAGTGTCAGTCACGTTTCAGTTCACTGAGAATGAGGCCAGTGTTGGATAAATAGATAGTAATCCACTACAGATCACTAATTACCTCTCTAAACTAACTCACTCCATGGGAAAAGGCCAGCAGCCTTTATTGTAAAACCAATCAGTGTTCCTAAGATGGGAAACTTTAATGTGAAGAATCGCACAAACCTTCCACATGATGATTTCAAATTAATATTTTTCAGACATATGACCGTGTGTTTTACGCAGTAATTACTCTGTGATCCATTACACCAAACACTGAATGAAACTTACTACAAAATAAATATTGCTCCTATTAAAGCTCGTTAACATCCCAGCTTCAGTCAGTGTGTCAGTCAGTTTAACTTCAGTCAGTGTGAAATCAAAATGAACATGAGCGATTCAGTTCTACAGACATATCACACCCACTTCTTAAGATTCACATTGTTCTGGTTGAATCTCCCGTTTGACTCTGAATAGCATCATGCAGCAGAAGCAGAATGGGTCAGTTTGCCCTGTGTGTGTAAGGATTTGGAAACAAGCAGAGTACAACTGTTCCTAAAGCATGCAGCGCCATCTGCTGTTCAAAACTAAGCTCAGAATCGACTCAAGAAAGAATCACGATGAGCTGCGCCGGAGCGAGCGGATCCAGCTTCTGCTGCCGCAGCAAGTCATTGATGCAGACGGTCGGGTTGATTCACATTGTTCTGGTTGAATCTCCCGTTTGACTCTGAATAGCATCATGCAGCAGAAGCAGAATGGGTCAGTTTGCCCTGTGTGTGTAAGGATTTGGAAACAAGCAGAGTACAACTGTTCCTAAAGCATGCAGCGCCATCTGCTGTTCAAAACTAAACTCAGAATCGACTCAAGAAAGAATCACGATGAGCTGCGCCGGAGCGAGCGGATCCAGCTTCTGCTGCCACAGCAAGTCATTGATGCAGACGGTCGGGTTGCTGTTGCTCACTTTGAAGCCGCAGCCTGCAGGTAACACCACAGACATCACGCTGAGACACTAGAACACACTGACCTGCTGAGACCGTACCGATCAGAAGGCTGAAGGTTTGCCCCGTGACGATGGAGTTGACCAGAACCCCGCCAAGCTTCATCAGGTTACTGTAGTAGATGTGATTGGGCCACTTCAGCCGCAGGTCCACATCCTGCACAAACATCTGCATTCAATAAACAGGAGCGTTCACAGGTAATAATGCTGTAAATAATGTTCAGTTTCTTGCACAGACTGATCATTTCACTTCATAAGACCTCAATATATCGTTAGGAGTCATGGGCAGTGTTGGGGAAAGCTACTTTTAAAAGTAATGCATTACTTTACTAGTTACTTTTAAAAGTAATCTGATTATGTATGATATGCTTTTTTGACTCTCAAAGTGACGGTAGCCATTGACTTGCACTTTATGAATCACCAAGAACCACGGATTCAGCTAAAAATCTTCTGTACTGATCTACTGAAGAACAAAAGTCACCTACATCGTGGATGGCCTGAGTGTGTTTGAATTAACAGCAAATCTTCATTTTTGCGTGAACTGTCCCTTTAAGCAGACACTTTTATTCACAGCAAATCTCAAGCACTTTGTCATAAGAGCAACATAATTCATAGCACACAATATTTAAAGTATAAATTAGAGCTGGCTGAAATGCAGAAAAAAGAGGAATATATAAAAAGACTTTCTGTTAGTTTACCCGTTAAAAATGTCTGATAAAGTCAAAAATATTTGAACACATGTCCAGTAAATATTAACACAAAACCGACATACATTAGACAAATATGTTTGCAAATGCACTAAGGTCTCCAGCTGCGCAAATATTTTTTTGCACGTTTCTCCTGTAACATGCTCTGGCTTGTTATTACATCCTTGATGCTTACGTACTTCACATGTGTGTGTGCTACATAGCTAAAACATTACGAGACATGCTAGCACACAACAGCGCAACTGCCAAATATATCTCAGCAAACAAAAGACAGAGCTTTTACTGAAATCCTAGCCAGCTCACCACGTCCTGTGATAACATCGTCGCTCATTCAGACCCAACGAAAGAGAGCTTTCCAACAACCAATTCCACGACTGCCACTTGTCATTTTAAATAGTGTGGAAAAGTAACAATAACACATAATTTTTTATCTTTCATTTGGCTTGATTGTTTGGTTATTATTAGTATTGCATATATTTTGCATATCCCAAAGTAGAGGTTTTCAAATTGGGGTCCGTGTGTGTGTGTGTGAGTGTTTGAGTCTGTGTGTGTGTGTGTGTGTGTGTGTGAGAGTGTTTAAGTCTGTGTGAGTGTGTGTGTGTGTGTGTGTGTGAGAGAGAGTGTTTGAGTCTGTGTGTGTGTGTGTGTGTGTGTGTGAGAGTGTTTAAGTCTGTGTGAGTGTGTGTGTGTGTGTGTGTGTGAGAGAGAGTGTTTGAGTCTGTGTGTGTGTGTGTGTGTGTGTGTGAGAGTGTTTAAGTCTGTGTGAGTGTGTGTGTGTGTGTGTGTGTGAGAGAGAGTGTTTGAGTCTGTGTGTGTGTGTGTGTGTGTGTGTGAGAGTGTTTAAGTCTGTGTGAGTGTGTGTGTGTGTGTGTGTGTGAGAGAGAGTGTTTGAGTCTGTGTGTGTGTGTGTGTGTGTGTGTGAGAGTGTTTAAGTCTGTGTGAGTGTGTGTGTGTGTGTGTGTGTGAGAGAGAGTGTTTGAGTCTGTGTGTGTGTGTGTGTGTGTGTGTGAGAGTGTTTAAGTCTGTGTGAGTGTGTGTGTGTGTGTGTGTGTGAGAGAGAGTGTTTGAGTCTGTGTGTGTGTGTGTGTGTGTGTGTGAGAGTGTTTAAGTCTGTGTGAGTGTGTGTGTGTGTGTGTGTGTGAGAGAGAGTGTTTGAGTCTGTGTGTGTGTGTGTGTGTGTGTGTGAGAGTGTTTAAGTCTGTGTGAGTGTGTGTGTGTGTGTGTGTGTGAGAGAGAGTGTTTGAGTCTGTGTGTGTGTGTGTGTGTGTGTGTGAGAGTGTTTAAGTCTGTGTGAGTGTGTGTGTGTGTGTGTGTGTGAGAGAGAGTGTTTGAGTCTGTGTGTGTGTGTGTGTGTGTGTGTGAGAGTGTTTAAGTCTGTGTGAGTGTGTGTGTGTGTGTGTGTGTGAGAGAGAGTGTTTGAGTCTGTGTGTGTGTGTGTGTGTGTGTGTGAGAGTGTTTAAGTCTGTGTGAGTGTGTGTGTGTGTGTGTGTGTGAGAGAGAGTGTTTGAGTCTGTGTGTGTGTGTGTGTGTGTGTGTGAGAGTGTTTAAGTCTGTGTGAGTGTGTGTGTGTGTGTGTGTGTGAGAGAGAGTGTTTGAGTCTGTGTGTGTGTGTGTGTGTGTGTGTGAGAGTGTTTAAGTCTGTGTGAGTGTGTGTGTGTGTGTGTGTGTGAGAGAGAGTGTTTGAGTCTGTGTGTGTGTGTGTGTGTGTGTGTGAGAGTGTTTAAGTCTGTGTGAGTGTGTGTGTGTGTGTGTGTGTGAGAGAGAGTGTTTGAGTCTGTGTGTGTGTGTGTGTGTGTGTGTGTGTGAGTGAGTGTGTGGGTTAGGGATGGCCGATATCTTATCGTTTGTGATATACCAGTATAAACTCTCCCCACAATAAGAATTAGTCTTCCCGCTATAATAAAAATAAGATCTCAACGTTGACATATTTCTGTGTGTGACCGTGTGGAGCAACATCACAGAAGGCAGACGTGAAATTGAGGAGGAGTTCATCGCTCCTTCTACACTCTGGATCTGGTTTGGTCAGGGCTGTACAGTGCGCAAAAAATCACTCTGAATAAATGTCCTACAATGGCACGTGTGCGATACAGTTTTGCATGTGTATGAGCCTGTTTATACACCTGTTGTCCAACAAAGATATCATTTATTGACATGCTTTTTCTCAAAATTAACTTAACATAGTCGAGTGTTTGAAATAACTTATTTTTGTGACCAGACGTGATTTCATATTACAGAGTGATAGTATTATGATAATATATGGTAAAGGCTTTGTCGATTAGCATTGCATTATATATATACTTTCATATAAAAATACCCAAGATTGCTGAAGAACACAGATAAACAATAGCTATATTTCGTGCAATTGTAACTTTATTGTCTTCAAGTTTCCTCAGTTAAAATGTCTCTATCTGTGTTTTATTCCGTGACGACTGTATACCGTTGTCCAGATTAGGGATTTCCTGGAGCGTCGTCAGTGTAGTTTCTGTCTACAGAACAGTCATTAAGTTACGTGTGTACTCCGTAATGCCCACAACGCCTTATTTTAGGTAAAAATAGGAAAGATAATACTTTTCTCTAAAGAAACAGGATTCCCTGAATTATCGTCATTGATATAGTTATTGCAGTAAATACCAGAAATTATTGTGATATATTTTTAAGCCCATATTGTCCATCCCTAGTGTGTGTGTGTGTGTGTTGTGTGAGAGAGAGAGTGTGTGTGTGTGTACCTCATATCCAGGCAGTGTGCGCACAGAGTGCACCACGGCGAGGTGCTGCAGGAAGGGGATTCTCTGTCCGAGGCGTGAGTTCACAGGAAGCTGCAGGTGGAGACTCAACCAGGCGTTCCCCCCGCGGCCTGCAGCACAGCATTAATGAATGACACGCTCGTTTATTCGTTAAACCAGAGGTAATGCGGCTACATGAGAGAGAGACGATGGAAACCCGCTGACCTTTGCCCTGCATCTGACGTGCCGCTATGGCGATTAACCCCGTTTCCTGCAGCGACATCAACCAGCAGGAGGAACAGAGAGAGCAGACGCTTCAGATGACAGAAGAACCACACCTTCACTCAAACAGTCATCTGTCAGCTTCATGCAATACAGATGGTTTCAAAGCAACTTCAGTAATTACACACCAATACGCTCTCTCCCACTGGCCACTCTGGCAGGCTGAATTTTATATAGCCTACAGTTACAGAGTAGGGGTGTGCGATATTGACAAAAAATTATATCTCGATATTTTCTGGGATTTTATCGATAACGATAATTAAACAGTATTTTGCTGAGTGTGTTATTGTGCTGATATCTTAAGGACTGCTGTGGACACCTGACTGTGTGCTGGTCAGTTTACATGGATAGAAATTAATCTTTTCCAATAACTTTAAATAGATTTTTTACATTTTGTGGCTGTGTTTGGAATTACTTTTGTTGTCAAAATAGCACAAAAACAGGAAATATAGCATCTAAAACGTAAGTCTCTCAATTAACTTGTTTATTGAACTGTTCAATATCAGAATCAATATCATTTGTAATCATGGTCTGTATGTGAGAGAATCTCGTGGAGAAATCAGAACAAATGAACGAAACTGCACACAAATGAAACATACTGCAGTAAAAACGTAACTTAAGTTTTTATATTTATAACATTTAGCCTAAACAACACGACAGGCCCAAGAGTGTGACGTTTTCCCTGAAAACCACGATTGCAAATTTGACACTGATTTTACACAAGAGTTCAAACAAGTAGTTAATATACATTTTAGTACAATGTTGACTATTTTTGTTTGATTTGTTTAACGAAAATATTTCCAAACTAAGATCACAGCAGAACAGTCGCGCATCTCTCAGCAACACAGTGGTGTTTCATAACTGAATGATTCAGCGTTTTTGAATGAATCATTTGAGTCAATGATTCAGTGGTCCATTTATAAAGACAGGCACTTGCTTCATTCTTGATGAATCAGCCGTCTGAACGAATCATTCGAATGAATGACTCAATGACTCACTCGTCACTGGCGGTTTACTTTCATATTTAAAAGTAGCTTATCTTTGCATTTTTCCTAACATTTCATATTTGTATATTTTTTAAAAACTGATTTAAAACTCCAAGCTCATAACACTATTTATTCTGTTGTAATTTTGCAGTGTAAATGCATTCATGCTACATTTCAGCTTCATTAAGCTGTCTGTGTAAATGCATAAATGGCACTTTAGCTGCTTCTGTTTTATCTGCAGTGCAAAGTTCAGTTTTGTTAATACGGATTACATTTAACTGGTAACAGCCCTATATTGTCTTATTATATTAAGTGAAATTATTAATAAAATGCAATTTTACCGTTTTCGCTTTACTTTGGATCAAATAAATGCAGGCTTGGTGAGCAGAAGAGAATTATTCAAAAACAAACATTAAAAATCATACTGTTCAAAAACCTTAGACTGGTAGTGTAGGCTGATTATTCTTATAGATTGAAACAAATGTGCTTCAGCCCGGATAAAGAGTATGAAAAGTGCTCTGAGTTGCTGCAGAAAACAAAAAAAAATTGAGCAACAACAGAAACATGTTGCTGGAGACGGGCTTATTATTGAAATGCAAACTGATTGTCTGCCAGCAGGAGGCGCTTCTGGAGCGGCAGAACTAGCGGTTTCCCCGGTAACGGCTGTAACCAAAGCAGCTCCGGCGAGGTGCTGCAGGAAGGGGATTCTCTGTCCGAGGCGTGAGTTCACAGGAAGCTGCAGGTGGAGACTCAACCAGGCGTTCCCCCCGCGGCCTGCAGCACAGCATTAATGAATGACACGCTCGTTTATTCGTTAAACCAGAGGTAATGCGGCTACATGAGAGAGAGACGATGGAAACCCGCTGACCTTTGCCCTGCATCTGACGTGCCGCTATGGCGATTAACCCCGTTTCCTGCAGCGACATCAACCAGCAGGAGGAACAGAGAGAGCAGACGCTTCAGATGACAGAAGAACCACACCTTCACTCAAACAGTTATCTGTCAGCTTCATGCAATACAGATGGTTTCAAAGCAACTTCAGTAATTACACACCAATACGCTCTCTCCCACTGGCCACTCTGGCAGGCTGAATTTTATATAGCCTACAGTTACAGAGTAGGGGTGTGCGATATTGACAAAAAATTATATCTCGATATTTTCTGGGATTTTATCGATAACGATAATTAAACAGTATTTTGCTGAGTGTGTTATTGTGCTGATATCTTAAGGACTGCTGTGGACACCTGACTGTGTGCTGGTCAGTTTACATGGATAGAAATTAATCTTTTCCAATAACTTTAAATAGATTTTTTACATTTTGTGGCTGTGTTTGGAATTACTTTTGTTGTCAAAATAGCACAAAAACAGGAAATATAGCATCTAAAACGTAAGTCTCTCAATTAACTTGTTTATTGAACTGTTCAATATCAGAATCAATATCATTTGTAATCATGGTCTGTATGTGAGAGAATCTCGTGGAGAAATCAGAACAAATGAACGAAACTGCACACAAATGAAACATACTGCAGTAAAAACGTAACTTAAGTTTTTATATTTTAGCCTAATAGCCTAAACAACACGACAGGCCCAAGAGTGTGACGTTTTCCCTGAAAACCACGATTGCAAATTTGACACCACAAGAGTTCAAGAGTTCAAACAAGTAGTTAATATACATTTTAGTACAATGTTGACTATTTTTGTTTGATTTGTTTAACGAAAATATTTCCAAACTAAGATCACAGCAGAACAGTCGCGCATCTCTCAGCAACACAGTGGTGTTTCATAACTGAATGATTCAGCGTTTTTGAATGAATCATTTGAGTCAATGATTCAGTGGTCCATTTATAAAGACAGGCACTTGCTTCATTCTTGATGAATCAGCCGTCTGAACGAATCATTCGAATGAATGACTCAATGACTCACTCGTCACTGGCGGTTTACTTTCATATTTAAAAGTAGCTTATCTTTGCATTTTTCCTAACATTTCATATTTGTATATTTTTTAAAAACTGATTTAAAACTCCAAGCTCATAACACTATTTATTCTGTTGTAATTTTGCAGTGTAAATGCATTCATGCTACATTTCAGCTTCATTAAGCTGTCTGTGTAAATGCATAAATGGCACTTTAGCTGCTTCTGTTTTATCTGCAGTGCAAAGTTCAGTTTTGTTAATACGGATTACATTTAACTGGTAACAGCCCTATATTGTCTTATTATATTAAGTGAAATTATTAATAAAATGCAATTTTACCGTTTTCGCTTTACTTTGGATCAAATAAATGCAGGCTTGGTGAGCAGAAGAGAATTATTCAAAAACAAACATTAAAAATCATACTGTTCAAAAACCTTAGACTGGTAGTGTAGGCTGATTATTCTTATAGATTGAAACAAATGTGCTTCAGCCCGGATAAAGAGTATGAAAAGTGCTCTGAGTTGCTGCAGAAAACAAAAAAAAATTGAGCAACAACAGAAACATGTTGCTGGAGACGGGCTTATTATTGAAATGCAAACTGATTGTCTGCCAGCAGGAGGCGCTTCTGGAGCGGCAGAACTAGCGGTTTCCCCGGTAACGGCTGTAACCAAAGCAGCTCCACTCATGAACGCTACTTTATCAGATCAAATGAAAATATCATCGAAACTTTTCTGAAGACAGTCGGTTCCCTTCAGAGATACATTCATATAAAACACCAGCGACGCGTCTTGATTTTGAAACGTGCAGTGCTCATGTTTATTCAACGAAGTCAAATGGCACAAATAAATCAATGTATGGGAAACACTGGTAATGTATATCGAAATATCGGAAATGTCTTTAAAAATAATTTCACTGTTATTGAAAAAAATTATATTGCGATACATATTGATATTGAATTATTGTCCAGCTTTATTGTCCCTACCTTTAAATAGGCAAAACATGACCTGGAAATCAATATAAATAAATTATAGTATGCAGTAACTTCAGTAATATAAAACGTTAGTTCCCAACAACAAAATTGTGTCTGGTGAAATTTTGGACAACCACTAGCCACAGTGACTGTTGAGCAAAAAAAGTTGATGTCAAGCCCTGGTGGTACTAATAAGAATTATAATAATAATAATAATAAACAGGAAAATAACAGAATCATTGATGCAAAATTCGGAAAATTAGGCACTGAGGCATGTGCACTGATCCGTCCATTGTGGACTCTTCTAGCTGGACTGTAATTGACCTTTGACCCCTATCACTGGCTTCCTATCCCAGCAGCCCCCTCAAACAACACCCTCACTAAAGCAAACAGCCGTCCACTTGACCCGAGTCACGCTGGACGCATCAATCTCACAGAAACTGCTGCACAAACACTCCAGTACTCCTGCAGAAGTTTAATAAAGACCTTCCTCTCACACACCAATCACGCTCCACAGCCTCGTTTCACTTCTGAATCAGTCAAAGCAGCTCAACCAGCGGATGGACGACTGCTTCTCCTCGCGTTGCAGGCGTGTGTCGTTTAGAGCAAACAGGTTTACAGAAGAGCTTCTTCAGTCTGCGGAGCCGCTCAGAGCCACACACAGAGAGCAGCATTCAGATGCAAAGAGACGCAGAGCAGCTCTGCTCTAATACATCTATTGAAGCGCTGCATCATGGGACACCGTGTTCAGATAGAGCTGCCTATCACTGGAAGCTCCACCAGAGAAACAGTTTCCAGTGTTTTTACAGCAAACCAGTCTGTGTGTGTTGATCGTCAGCATTGTGAAGCACTGAAAGCCAGAGCGTTTTCTGGAGCGACGCTGCACCGAC